TGAGAGTCCGGCGCGCTCCGCCCCTGCTGCAGCTCGCGAGCTCGCACGCCGGTTTCACTGTTCTGGGGGCCGTACCCACGTCCGCCCTGCGCCACCTGGACCGGTTATTTCCCCGCGCCGAGGTCTTCGGGGCTGCATCCCAGCCTCCGCCGCCCGCTGCTGCTGCTCTTCGGCTTCCCCTCCCCCCACACCCGGGGCTTCGAGCAGGAGGAGGAGGGGCCGGTGCATTCTCGCTGCTGCTCTTTGCAACCTGCGGGGGCCGGTGCGTGCCCGGCGAGAAACCCGGGCCGCTGCAGGTGCGTGAAACCTCGGAGGAAGCGACTCCCCCACCCCCACGCGAACCCGGGGGCTGCAAGCCGCGGGCGGGCGGTCGAGCGAGAGGAAGCAACAAAGACAGGCTGCAGCTGGGACTGGCGAGCGGGGCCGCGGCCGCCGGCCTCCCACCGCGGTTGGAGAGGGCGCCCCAGGGAGCGGCGCGGGCCGAGCTGCAGCCCTGAGCGGGACCCACAGGGGAGGCGCAGCGCCTCCCGCCGGACGCGGGGAGGACAGGCCCCTGAGAGGATGCGCTGCCTGAGCGCCCGCACGGCCGGGGTCCCGGGCGGGCACGACCCGCGCTGAGCTGGGAGACCCTCCAAACCCCGACTTCGGACGGCGCGGACCGGCGGCTGGATCGCCTTCACCCATAGTGCCTCTTCCCACTGGGGAGAGGCGTCGTCCCCAAGGGGGCTTCCTCGGACTGCCGCTGCCACCTCTGCATGGCTGCGACCCCGCGAACGGAGAGTCGTCGCTGCTGAGGACCGGTGCCCTTTGACGGCCTTGGCTGACCTGGTGAGTTCCTTGGGGCGGGGTTCCGAACTGGAGTTGGGGGCACCCCCTGGCGTCGGCGCAGCGTGGAGTGGAAATAAAGGTGCCCTGGGCGGTAGGGAATCCTGAAGCTCGACGCCCCAGTTCGCTTCTTTCCCTCCCCCACATAACTTGTCCCGACAGGACAACCTCCCGGAATGGAGGTGGGGACCTTCGTGGGGACTCCGCGGGATTCTGGGCGGGGCGGAAGCTAGAGAGGCGAGGTCACCTAAAGTCAACTGACAAAGGTAGAGACTCCATCTTCTGAAAATTTCCCAGGAATTCCCGAGCCTTTGGCGGGGTTGCCTGGGGGCAGCCAGGACGGGACAGCTTGGGGCTCTCGGGAGGAGCTTCTGAGATCTTCAAAGGGACATCAGCTCAGAGAGGGACGTGGTGTGTTGGCCATGTGTTGGCTGCTTTTGAGGATTGTGCCCTCTGAGGGTAGACAGTAGCAGCCGCATTCTTACGAAAATACTCGCGGGGATTTAGGGTTCCCCGGTGGGGCCGTGGAGTGACGTCACTGCCGGGTCTCTGATGTCACTGGAGTTACCGTGGCGACTCAACTTGTCTTGACCCGAGACCGGAGGAGGCGGGGTCACGGTAACTAGGGGCGGGGCTGGATGTCTTCGGGCCGTGGAGGAGTGAAAGCCAGCTCCCCCCACCCCCAACTGCAGTCCATCGACCTAAATCCTCCCCTGCTGATGAGGTGGGGGAGGGACCCAGTCCCAGCTGTCCCTGCTGCTGCTCCTCCCCCCAAGGACAGGTGTTCAGCTTTGCCCAGATAGCCTGGCAGTGCCTGGGGACTTCAGAACTCCTAAGCAGCAACTTTCTGCTTTCAGAAGGGATGCCACAGAGGGGACCTCGCTGTAGGGTGCCATACACCCAGCCGTCAGCCTGAAGTGTACCAGGCCCCCAGAGAGATGCGGGGCCCCTGTCTTTAAAAATGCTACTTCCCCTCAGAAAAGTATGGGTGCCCCACCCCTGGCAGAAGGTACCAAGAGCTTACTACTCACCCCAAGTCCAGGGCCTCTCCCTGTTGTTTAGTCTGAAGATGAGGGGCCTTGGCCAAGCCTGAACCCCAGCTGCCCCAGGCTCCTTTTGGTGTTGAAGACAATTTTGACCAGCCCAGGTGTTGTTCCTTAGGTGAATGGCCAAGGTCTGAAGAAAGTGTGTCTGCCTTTGATGGGGTCAGGCCCAGCCCTCTCTTCCCCACACTGGCCCTGCTCCCTGTGGAGGCCCAGGGCACCCCCAGCAGCTTCTTAGCACTAGCTCTGATTGCGAAGTTCCTTCCAGCAGTTGCTGCCTGAGTCAGATGTGGGTGACACTGCTGTGATCACATTTCTAGGAAAAGGTTAGAGAACTGTGTCTGTGCTTCAGTGGCATTGAGGGGTGGGAGGCATAGTAATGTGTGTGTGTGTGTGTGTGTGTTGGGCGGCATTATGAGAAGCCAGACCCCAGTCTCTATACAGTGAACATTTTCCCCTGTTCTACCAGGCTCTCCAGCTAGATTAACAGGTCAATCAATATCAGTGGAGCTGCTTTTGGGGGCTTGGCAGGGAGATGATATTTCCAGCTGAAATGGTGTCGTTAAACACACAGGCTTCCAAGGACAGGAGCAACAGCAGATGGGGGGAAGTGGGAGAGGTGGGCAGAAGGGCTGTTTGTGCGCTGCCTCTCGAAGCTTCCCAGTTTAGAAACAAACTCGGAGTGCGCGCCAGAGACCCACAAACAGGCAGTTGGAGGTCCTCCGTGGAGTATTTACACTTCCATAGCCAAGGCGGAGGGAAGGGCTGTCAGAATTAGGCAATTCCTTCTGTTCCTTTCGCTGGGCTTGGCAGTAGCACCAAGTGATGAGCAGGAGGGAGTGCCAGCTTACCCAACCTCCCTGTGTCTTAGGCATCTTACAGGATGTCACTCCTTGGAGTGGCTCTCGGGTGCTGTGGCCCATTTTACAGATAGAGAAATTGAGGCTCAAAGGAAGTGCCTGTGGGTGCTCAGCCAGGTAGCCTGAGATTCAGCTCTGAATTTCTAGGCTCCAGAGTTCCCAGGTCTTCCCACCCCTCCCATGGCCAGAGGGGAGGTAACCCACTTGTTGGACAGCGCCCCAGCAAGGGCGGAGGGCTGTGAGCTTTGGAGTTTGGCCTCACCGGGATCCCTGGCCACACTGAAAACCAGATTTGAGTCTGATTTCCCTAGACCTACAGGACAATGTTGAGCAGAACAGCATTGTCTGCCTGGCCTTGAGGTCAGCCTGCTCCCCTTGCCCACAGAACCCTGTTCTCCCGCAGCAGAGGAAGGAAGGTACATCAGGAAAGCCACTTGCCAGGAAGCGTTGAGAGAACTGGCGGGGCCTGGGGCTCCTTGTCCTCTGCTCCTCTTGGCTCACCTGGGAAAGGTGGTGAAGCCCAGATGGTGGGGTAGCAAACAATGTAGACTGGTCATAAGATTTTGGTTGATGGGGCCAGGGACCCAGCCTGAGAGTCTGGAAGGGCTGGGTAGGAGGGATGCTTAGGACAAAAAGGGATCCTCCAGGCTGTGCAGTGGAAAGTGTTCTAGGCAGTGGGAGTGGCCATGGTTTGGGCCTGTGTGTGCTGGGGTGTGCTGACCATGGCCCTGGCGGCTTAGGTGTGTGGGGGGGTGAGGGGGGACATTAAGCAGGGAAGAGCTTAACCAGGTCCCCTTGGCCGGACTGGCCACGGGAGCTGAGTGCTCGGTGCTCTGGGCAGCCCCCATCAAGGCCAGCCCACAGTAATCCTTATCACCTGTCTAATTCTGCTTAAGCTTGACCATCCCCTGCCTCAGGCTTGCAGTGACCAGGGCTGGGGTGGGTTCTGAACCCCCTGGTTGAGAAGCTGGCGGCCCCCCTGTGGTCGGCAGTAGCTTCTGGCTAAGAGCCACTTGTTGGCGCCATGACCTTGGGTGAGTAGCATCGCCCCTGCCAGCTGAAGTTTCTCCACCTGTGAGAAGGAGCTGCTAACCCGCCCAGGCCAGCAGCGTGGGAGGCTGGCGCCAGGCCTCCAGGAGCCCTCATCCACATCCACTCCGTGGCCACTGTTAGCCGTCCTCAGAGCAGGGCCTTGACTGGCTCTCCAGTAGCCCAGCATCCAAAGATCAAAGAACCCCAGGGCAGGGGCTCCCACCTTCCCAGCTACCCCGGCGCCCTGCACCTATGCACACGTGGCTGCCGTGGGGGCTCCCGGGGGCTGGGGCCAGTTAGGAGCCCCTCCCCAGCCTCCCGCCCCCTCTGCCTTCCAGTCCTTCACAGACGGGAGGAAGCGAGCGGATCAGCTCATATTCATGAAGCGTAATTCAATCAGGCGGCGATTCGATTCCTCTGGGCTCGGGCGGGGGTGAGAACGAGGCGGCGCGCACAAAAGGGGCCGCTTTATTACCTCCCGCGGGCCGGGAATTGCGGCTCTCCCCCAGCAGCGGCCGGAGCTGCCTTTATTGTGTTAACCCATTTGCGTGTCAAGAGCTATTGTGCGCTTTCTCTGTCGGTGCGGGCGGGCTGCGGGAGGAGGCTGCCGCTGGCCGGTCACCTCCGCGGGCGCCGCCCGCCGCCCTGATTGGTTGCTAAGTGATTTGCATCCAAGGTAATCACTTTTATCTCAGAAGGATGTCGACTATAATTATAAGCTACTGACATCTTTTGAAATCTGCCTAATGACTATTTTAGTCTGCACTGGCTGGGGGGGGGAGGGGGACTCTGGAGGCTGGGGGGGGGTGCGGCAGGGAGGAGGAGGCTGGAAGGTAATGGATTCCTTCCACCTGGACCATTGATTTGCTATTTGAGAAATCTCCCAGTGCCCACTGATGCCTCAAACAAAAGCAGGGTGGCCGAGGTGGGGAGTTTGTATTCTTCCAGGCAAGTTAGGGCCATTTTCGAGATGAGGAAATAGAGGCCCTGGGGGATAATGAACCACCTGCTCAGAGTCACAGAGCCCCTCAGAGGTGGGAACTGAGTTTCTCTGACCCCCCCAAATTCATGTGCTGCCCCCTCGAGTGAGGTACAGACAGAAATAATGGGCATCATCCCTAAGTGAAAATCACTTGTCTGATTTAAGTCATAACCTAAGACTCCCATTTTAACTCCCATTTCCTCCCAGGGAGGAAATGGACACAGACAGGCTGTCACTGCCCAAAGTCACACAGCCAGGGAATGCCAGAAATACAAGGTCTATTGGTGGCCAGAACTGGGCTAAGGGCAAGCCTAGGTTTTAGCTCTCCCTGCAACCAAGTGGTGGTTCCACTTGGGAAGCACCCAGCATCCATGTGGGTATAGATACCCTGAGGGCGACAGTCTCGGTGGCAGAGCTCTAAGGAATCTTAACTGCTCAGAGATTCCGTCAAGGGTCAGATGAGTCCACAAGTAACTAAACTTCTAGACAGGAGAGCTGGAGAGAAGAGAGCAAAGAAGGAAAGACTGCAACTGGTCATGGAGGGCTTCCTGACAGAGGCGGCTTTGCTCAGGGCCCTGAGAACTTGCATGGCTCCGACCAGCATGGAGTGAATAGATGGTGTCGCTGGTAGAAGTCTAAGAACCAAGGGGCATGCTGACCAGGAAGAGCAGGGATGCTTATCAGAGGGTGAAGTAAAAGGGAACTAAACTGGAGTGTGTCCGTGGTCTTGAGTGCTGAGCTAAGTACCCACATGTCCAGATGAACAGCAGAGGGAAGCCAGTGAGGGGGGAGGGATCTGGATGCCTTAAGTCAGTATGGCAGACTTTTCAGGGGTTTGGGGGTCACAGATCGGGGTGGAACCCCAACTTCTGTTCTCTTATGGCTGTGTGTCCTTAGACAAGCCACTGTACCTCTCTGGGTCTCACTTTATTTATCTCTTCAAGGGAGTAATAGCAGTTTTCTAGCAAGGTTGTGGGTAGAATCAGCTTGGGAGTGCAGAGTGATTGGGGAGCATCACTGAACCCCTCAAAACTGGGTGGTCCAGGCTCCAGGCACCAGCCCCAGCCAGGCGTGATGGGCCCACCA